TATTCACAATGTGATATATGTAACTGTAGAATATATCCTTTATGGGTAACACTTTATTAAATGGGTATACATGAGAATTTATGACATCCGACATCAATGCTTATAGACACCTTCATGAGCGTTGAATTTACACCTGCATTCAGGATTCTTCACCAAACTTTTCACTGATTATCTCGTGTAAGGCTAAGGATATGTTTCTGTGAAAGTTACAAAGAAACGATGACTATACAGACCATTCACCCATTTACTGTTTGATATACACTGAGTGTACAAAACATTAGGAACACCTGCTCTTTCCATGACATAGCTTTCACCTGGATTCACCTGGTCACTCTATGATCCCTTATTGATGTCACTTGTTAAATCCACTTCAATCAGTGTAGATGAAGGGGAGGAGACAGGTTAAAGGATTTTTAAGCCTTGAGACATGGATTGTGTATGTGTGCCATTCAGAGGGTGAATGGGATAGACAAAAGATTGAAGTGCCTTTGAACGGGGTATGGTAGTAGGTGCCAGGCCCACCGGTTTGAGTATGTCAAGAACTGCTGCTCTGCTGGGTTTTTCATGCTCAACAGTTTCCCGTGTTTGTATCAAGAATGGTCCACCACCCAAAGGACATCCAGCCAACTTGACACAACTGTGGGAAGCACTGGAGTCAACATGGGCCAGCATCCCTGTGGAATGCTTTCGACACCTTGTAGAGTCCATGCCCCGACGAATTGAGGCTGTTCTGAGAGCAAAAGCGGGTGCAACTCAATATTAGGAAGGTGTTCTTAATGTTTTGTACACTCAGTGTATACAGTAGCTGATAACATCTGAAATTGTCAGGATATTACCATCTTATTGTATATAAGTGCAATTGTTTTGTTATAGAGTATAGGCCTACTTCATGTTTCATACTTACGAGACAAACATGCACCACAAAATGTGTGACACCAAGCAAGAGGCTTTCAGAGAGCTGGATATGGAGCCCAGGGGTGTATTAATTATGCAGATAATTTTTTGTGGGGTCTGAGAGTTTCCTTTTGCGAGGGTGGAGACTTCGCAAACTGGAACTCCCAATTTCTATCAGGTGTGGACCCAGAACTTAATCACGCAGCTGACCAAATTAGCAAGATTTTACTTCTGGGTTAACTGAGATTAAACTGCTCTAAGGAGTGACTACAATCCACACAGTCACTGCCAAGAAACGCTTATGTTAGCATTTTCAAACTAAAACGTTATTTTGATCAGCATAAAGTGTCTGAAGTTTCACATCACAACAATGTGACTGTTTTGGAATAAAATGGTCAGTGTACAAAACATTAATAGACTGACCAGATGAATCCAGGTGAAAGCTTTGATCCCTTATTGATGTCACTTTTTAAAACCCCCCGCCCCTCCACATGCACAGAGCAGTCGAAGTTTAAGCACCACCTTCACCCAATCCTGTTACATACAAATAATCAGCGACGAAAACCCAAACAATGGACCTACTGCTGCTCTTTATCCTATACATTCCATCCCGTCACAACCGATTCTTCGGTTTAGGTGCAGAATCTGTCCAGGAGAGATTAAGATCAGTCCATAGACTGCTTAGGATATCTCAGTACATTATTTTGCTGAACCCTCTCATTACGTACAAATTAAAGAGTTACTACTTTTAAAGGCCCAGTAAAGGTGGCGCCAAACAAAGTCATGTGTGAAAATAGTCTGCGGTTAAAAGACTGAAGCACTTGAAGCATTTAAAGGTTATACATGTAACATTTCTACCTGCAAATCATACATGTAACATTTCTACCTCAATCACATATCAGTAGTAATGAAGGAATACAAATCTGCTCGAGGAAAACTGGGCGGTCCGGCCAGCTGTTGTGTGTAGGCTACATCTCCCTGTTTTATGATTAGTTTGCATTTGCGAGGTTGACAACATCAGTAAAACATTCATATTACAACTCTTCGTCAAGTCCTTGCAACAGTTTTATTTACATCCTGTGTGGTCTGCTTATTATTTTACCATTGATATGTTCTAGGCTATTTTGAGACCTTAAGGAGCATCAGGTACTGCTGGAATGTCTACCAATGGCATGTCCATCCTTTTGTGAGAAATTACACTGGTCACTCAAAACATTTATAAAGTATTTATAAAGTATAAATAGCCCACATTTTAGATGATGCAATGCAAAAAGACTTAACTAATGATTAGTAAATGGTTGATAAGGACCTACAGTATATTAAACATAATATGGATGGCATATTGATTAAAGAATTATGAATAAACGATTTACTAATTACCACAGCATTATTGAATACTCATTTCTGATTGGCTAGAAGGTCATTCTAGAATGGACATTAAAACCAGATAACGGGTCAGTTGGAAAAGATATCGGGACACCTTGCAATCATGACGAAATATGCGCCTACACATGCAGACCGTACTGACAATAGTATCTTCTGGTCGGGGTAGTTTTGTTAAAGGACTGGTTGCACGCACGATATACTGTATACATTTACATTTACATTTTAGTCATTTAGCAGACGCTCTTATCCAGAGCGACTTACAGGAGCAATTAGGGTTAAGTGCCTTGCTCATACTGTATACTCAACAAAAATATAAACGCAACATGCAAAGTGTTGGTCCCATGTTTCATGAGCTGAAATAAAAGATCCCCGAAATTTTACATATGCCCAAAAATATGATTTCTCTCAAAGTTTGAGCACACATTTTTAAAGATCCCTGTTAAGTAGCATTTCTGCTTTACCAAGATAATCCATCCACCTGACAGGTGTGGCATATCATGAAGCTGATTAAACAGCATGATCATTACACCGTACTCTCTACAAAGTTACAGAAAGCTAAACCAACAACTACACAAACTGAAATAGCATACATTGTAAACGAAGGTCCAACGAAGAAAAACTTAGCTAGCTAGATAGCATTGATTTGTTAGGCTTCATCTATTACTATAGGCCTATGTGTGAAATTAGTTTTGATATAGTTTAGGTGTAGTTTCGATGGGCCATTGACAGATGGCAGTAAACTGTTGGGTGCACCTGGCTTGGTGCGTGGAGCAGGAACGGGCCGGACCGGGCTGACGATGCGCACCCTTGGTTTGGTGCGTGGAGCAGCAACGGGCCGGACTGGGCTGACGATACGCACCCCTGGCTTGGTGCGTGGAGCAGGAACGGGCCGTACCAGGCTGACGATGCGCACCCCTGGCTTGGTGCGTGGAGCAGGAACGGGCCGTACCGGGCTGACGACTCGCACCCCTGGCTTGGTGCGTGGAGCAGGAACGGGCCTTACCAGGCTGGCGACGCGCACCGTAGGCTTGGTGCGAGTGGCAGGAACAGGCCGGGCCGGGCTGGCGACGCGCACCGTAGGCTTGGTGCGAGTGGCAGGAACAGGCCGGGCCGGGCTGGCGACGCGCACTGTAGGCTTGGTGCGAGTGGCAGGAACAGGCCGGGCCGGGCTGGTGACGCGCACCGTAGGCTTGGTGCGAGGGGCAGGAACAGGCCGGGCTGGGCTGGCGACGCGCACCGTAGGCTTGGTGCGAGTGGCAGGAACAGGCCGGGCTGGCGACGCGCACCGTAGGCTTGGTGCGAGTGGCAGGGCCGGGCCGGGCTGGCGACGCGCACCGTAGGCTTGGTGCGAGGGGCAGGAACAAGCCGGGCTGGCGACGGGCACCGTAGGCTTGGTGCGAGGGGCAGGAACAGGCCGGGCTGGGCTGGCGACGCGCACCGTAGGCTTGGTGCGAGGGGCAGGAACAGGCCGGGCCGGGCTGGCGACGCGCACCGTAGGCTTGGTGCGAGGGGCAGGAACAGGCCGGGCCGGGCTGGCGACGCGCACCGTAGGCTTGGTGCGAGGGGCAGGAACAGGCCGGGCTGGGCTGGCGACGCGCACCGTAGGCTTGGTGCGAAGAGCAGGAACAGGCCGGGCCGGGCTGGCGACGCGCACCGTAGGCTTGGTGCGAGGGGCAGGAACAGGCCGGGCTGGGCTGGCGACGCGCACCGTAGGCTTGGTGCGAGGGGCAGGAACAGGCCGGGCCGGGCTGGCGAAGCGCACCATCAACTTAGTGCGGGGAGCAGGAACGGGCCGGACCGGACTGGTGACGCACACCACTTGCTTGGTGTGAGGAGCGGGACTGGGTTTCGTCATAACCCTCCGCTCCCTCAGCTGCCTACATAGATCCTCTCGCCGTGCCTCTACTCTCACCTTCTCCCTTATCGCCTCCAATAGCTCCACCCTCTGCACCATTAACTCCAGCTCCCTCTGCACCAATAGCCCCCTTAACCTGGTGGCCTCCTCACCTAACCTCCTAATACGCCCTGTAGCTGCCTCCTGCTGCCCCGTCGCCCATGGCGTGTGCCCCCCCCTAAATTTTTTTTGGAGTTGCCTCTCGTCCGTCCGACGACGACCCTGTTGACGCCGTTGCTCCTCTCTCTGTCGCGCCTCTACCGTCTCCCTCCATGGACGGCGATCCATCCCGGCCTGGATTTCCTCCCAGGTCCAGGACCCCTGCCCGTCCATTATCTGCTCCCACTTCCAGGCTGCCTGCTCCTGGACACGCTGCTTGGTCCTGGTATGGTGGGATCTTCTGTCACGATCGTCGAAGGGAGTAGACCAAGGCGCAGCGTGAGATTTGTACATCTTATTTAATTAAGTGCACACACGAATAAACAAAACAACAAACGATACGTGAAGTCCACGGTACAAACACAAAACCAACTGGAACAAGATCCCACAACTATTGTGGGAAAACAGCCTGTATAAATATGGCTCCCAATCAGAGACAACCAGCTACAGCTGACACTCGTTGCTTCTGATTGGGAACCACTCTGGCCAACACAGAAATACAATACTAGACTGTGACATAGAACAAGAAAACATAGAAACTACACACCCTGGCTCAACATATAGAGTCCCCAGAGCCAGGGTGTGACAGTACCCTTAGTACATGTAGGTTGTTGGTAGGGTAAATTACCTTTGGCTGTATGTTTAGACTCCTCCAAATCGTAGCGACTGCTTCTTTATTGCGAGGACAGTCCAGTAGTCCATGGTTCTCATGGAACAGACAGTCCACTGTTAGTATATCATGTCTGGTCACCAGTCTGCTACTGTTAGGTACTGTGCAGTCTGGGTTGAAGGAATGATGCAGCACCACCAAAACAACACGTTTACCAGCTGTTTAGAAAGTGACAATAAAATGTTTAGCATGAGAAAAAGCTAACAAATAAAGCATTCAGATAATTAGCCTCTTGCTAGATACATAGGTCAACACTGACATGGATTTGATATAAAACATTTCAGATACGCAGTATATGTCAATAACTTTGCTTCTTACTTGGTATCTCCTGCAGTGCTGCTTCAATATCAGTCCCAGCACGACTGACGATAGGACAGAAAGTCATGATGACATCACTCTCCTCCAGGGTCCTCACTTCAGTAAAGTCTCCTTGCATGGTGAGTTGTTTCAAAAAGTCCTTATGAGAAGCCAAGGTATTGCCTCTGACAACAGTGAAGAATTTTCTCCTCCTTGGATTACCTGCAACAGGATATTAAAGATGGAACCTTTATTGTTAATTCCATGACCTTCATCATTAGTGCAGCTGGTTTATGTAAAAAAGGTGGCGTATCAGCTCGGCTACTTTTTGTAACAACATACAACTTTATAACTGACATATTTTGATGAAATGTTAGACCACACATCGACCTTCATATGATGGGCACACTTACAGATATTTTGCTCACATTCTAAGTGTAAGCACTGCAAAAGCTCACTATGAAGGAGTTTTTGATCAAGTACATTTAAGCAAGAAAAAACCCAATGGCATCTGAGAAAGTAACATGTTGACTTACCATGAACACTGGACTCTGCCATTTTGCCTGTATAAAAAAAAGTTTGAAATCATTACTACACACATCATTAGGTTACTTAGTAGTATTATTTTTGTTATATTTTCTCCTTCCCAGTAATAATTGACTGTATTAAAATTAGAATGTTGTGTTTATTTTTGGAAATTTAAAGTAATACTTCTTGGGCTCTATTTTATGCATGCTCATTTGCAATTTCGACCTGTTAAAGCTGTCACTCTTCTGTTTTCAAACCCTAGCGCCAGGATTGGTAATTTACCTGTTTTATATGAGCTTGCTTGCGCTGAGGTGTGAGGGGTGGCATTATCTGACGTGTGTCCTTAAAAACGCTTGCATATGGAACAAGAGGGATGTGCTTTTTGTACCAGTAAAGCTTGTATTTAGAAACATAAAAAACTAAATGTTTTTGATAAAACATTTATTAAAAAACCAAGCATAGCCTCCACTCCTCTCAATAAAGGCGTTTTTTTTGGTCCTGCCCAATGCATTCGCCAAGTAGTCAAGACTATCATAAAGGGTTTGGCACATCAGACCACTTTCAAATAAAATCTTTATTAAAAGATCAAGTTTGGGGCCATCCTATTTTCATCTATCTAGGCTAATCTACATTATTTTAGCCAGATCCTGTTATTATTTTGAATGTGCGTAAAAACTCCTCCATGTAGGCTATATGCTCATCATGGAAGAAGAGATGAGATGATCCGGTGACACTCATATTTAAAAACAATTATGTTATTTTCCTGTAAGAATTGCTTGTATTCCGTTTCGATTGAGCCCTTGTAGGCTACCCTTACCCTACTATAACGAAAGCTAGTTTCAACAGCAATGCATCTGGTGTCTTTCTTATCCTGGCCATCCATTAGCCAAGTAGCCTATCCATAAAAGGTTTCTAAATGGTCTACTCGTGAAGCTTTTGTATTGTTCACAATTCACACACTGTAGGCCTACCTGCAGTGCATAGGATACTCCATTCGGCTTGTATCCATCCCCATTTCAAAAGAGCGCCTCTTGTCCGGTTACCAAAGACACACTCCTCCAAACATATTGAAATTATTCAGTCTTATAACACCATATCATCGGTAGGCTATATCTAGCCCATTCATAGACGCTAACTACCTTAAGCGCCTATTGACAATAGTATCCTCTGGTCGGGGTAGTTTTGTTAAAGGACTGGTTGCACGCACGATATACTGCACACTCAACAAAAATATAAACACAACATGTAAAGTGTTGGTCCCATGTTTCATGAGCTGAAATAAAAGATCCCAGAAATTTTACATATGCCCAGAAAGCTTATTTCTCTCAAAGTTTGAGCACACATTTTTAAAGATCCCTGTTAGGGAGCATTTCTGCTTTGCCAAGATAATCCATCCACCTGACAGGTGTGGTATATCATGAAGCTGATTAAACAGCATGCTCATTACACCGTACTTTCTACAAAGTTACAGAAAGCTAAACCAACAACTACACAAACTGAAATAGCATACATTGTAAACGAACGTCCAACGAAGCAAAACTTAGCTAGCTAGATAGCATTGATTTGTTAGGCTTCATCTATTACTATAGGCCTATGTGTGAAATTAGTTTTGATATAGTTTAGGTGTAGTTTCGATGGGCCATTGTCAGATGGCAGTAAACTGTTGGGTTGGGGAAAAGAGGAATGGGGAAATTTGACTTGCCCTCCCTCCTAAAACTGCTCATAACACAAACTCTGTTGGTGATATCAAGATTCTAACAACGATGGTGTGTTGAATAGACTTATTTAGGAAAAGACAAAGAGGGGGGTGACATGACTTAAAAAATGGCAGAGTAATTAAAATGTTTAATTCATATGAAATCAAAAATGACAGTCTCTGCACTTGTTTGGAAAAAATCACTGAGATTTATAGATCAGACTCACCAGTCCTCTTGCTTCTCCATTTAGTCATCCAATCCTGTACCTGATGTTATGAGATGACAAAGGACATGCAAATTCTGTGTTGGGACATTAGGCGAAAATGCAAGGCAGCTGAGGTGATACTACATGTATGATAGTAGAGTATGAGAAATTATGGAAATTCTACTGTAACAGTGTTTATAATTAAATAATGATTATGTGATTATTAAAAGTCTGTCTCAACATGTTCAATGTTTAAATTTTTTATAACCTCCATTTATCTGTGACTTTGCTTTATCCGATTCTACTTCTCTTCTAGTACAGTGCATTGGGAAAGTATTCAGACCCCTTGACTTTTTTCACATTTTGTTACGTTACAGCCTTATTCTAAAATTGATTAAATAAACAATTTTCCTCATCAATCTGCACCCAATGCCCCATAATGACAAAGCAAAAACAGGATTTTAGAAATGTTTGCTAATTTATGAAAAAGAAAAAACAGATAAAAAACTGCTGTTTCATTTTCTCATTAAGTTGTTTTGTGGCATCAAATACAGTAAAAAAAAACTAACATTTAACTAGCAACCATTACTCTAAGACTATCAGAACCCGACTAGTAAAATGTTTTTGGGAAATCTGTGCTTCTTCATATTTGTATACTATATAGGTGATATGAAACATTTGAATGGGTCAATAAAAAAACATTACAAAAGTATGCATGGGGAGTATGAGAGAAATGTACCCTTAGTACATGTAGGTTGTTGGTAGGGTAAATTACCTTTGGCTGTATGTTTAGACTCCTCCAAATCATAGCGACTGCTTCTTTATTGCGAGGACAGTCCAGTAGTCCATGGTTCTCATGGAACAGACAGTCCACTGTTAGTATATCATGTCTGGTCACCAGTCTGCTACTGTTAGGTACTGTGCAGTCTGGGTTGAAGGAATGATGCAGCACCACCAAAACAACACGTTTACCAGCTGTTTAGAAAGTGACAATAAAATGTTTAGCATGAGAAAAAGCTAACAAATAAAGCATTCAGATAATTAGCCTCTTGCTAGATACATAGGTCAACACTGACATGGATTTGATATAAAACATTTAAGATACGCAGTATATGTCAATAACTTTGCTTCTTACTTGGTATCTCCTGCAGTGCTGCTTCAATATCAGTCCCAGCACGACTGACGATAGGACAGAAAGTCATGATGACATCACTCTCCTCCAGGGTCCTCACTTCAGTAAAGTCTCCTTGCATGGTGAGTTGTTTCAAAAAGTCCTTATGAGAAGCCAAGGTATTGCCTCTGACAACAGTGAAGAATTTTCTCCTCCTTGGATTACCTGCAACAGGATATTAAAGATGGAACCTTTATTGTTAATTCCATGACCTTCATCATTAGTGCAGCTGGTTTATGTAAAAAAGGTGGCGTATCAGCTCGGCTACTTTTTGTAACAACATACAACTTTATAACTGACATATTTTGATGAAATGTTAGACCACACATCGACCTTCATATGATGGGCACACTTACAGATATTTTGCTCACATTCTAAGTGTAAGCACTGCAAAAGCTCACTATGAAGGAGTTTTTGATCAAGTACATTTAAGCAAGAAAAAACCCAATGGCATCTGAGAAAGTAACATGTTGACTTACCATGAACACTGGACTCTGCCATTTTGCCTGTATAAAAAAAAGTTTGAAATCATTACTACACACATCATTAGGTTACTTAGTAGTATTATTTTTGTTATATTTTCTCCTTCCCAGTAAAAATTGACTGTATTAAAATTAGAATGTTGTGTTTATTTTTGGAAATTGAAAGTAATACTTCTTGGGCTCTATTTTATGCATGCTCATTTGCAATTTCGACCTGTTAAAGCTGTCACTCTTCTGTTTTCAAACCCTAGCGCCAGGATTGGTAATTTACCTGTTTTATATGAGCTTGCTTGCGCTGAGGTGTGAGGGGTGGCATTATCTGACGTGTGTCCTTAAAAACGCTTGCATATGGAACAAGAGGGATGTGCTTTTTGTACCAGTAAAGCTTGTATTTAGAAACATAAAAAACTAAATGTTTTTGATAAAACATTTATTAAAAAACCAAGCATAGCCTCCACTCCTCTCAATAAAGGCGTTTTTTTTGGTCCTGCCCAATGCATTCGCCAAGTAGTCAAGACTATCATAAAGGGTTTGGCACATCAGACCACTTTCAAATAAATCTTTATTAAAAGATCAAGTTTGGGGCCATCCTATTTTCATCTATCTAGGCTAATCTACATTATTTTAGCCAGATCCTGTTATTATTTTGAATGTGCATAAAAACTCCTCCATGTAGGCTATATGCTCATCATGGAAGAAGAGATGAGATGATCCGGTGACACTCATATTTAAAAACAATTATGTTATTTTCCTGTAAGAATTGCTTGTATTCCGTTTCGATTGAGCCCTTGTAGGCTACCCTTACCCTACTATAACGAAAGCTAGTTTCAACAGCAATGCATCTGGTGTCTTTCTTATCCTGGCCATCCATTAGCCAAGTAGCCTATCCATAAAAGGTTTCTAAATGGTCTACTCGTGAAGCTTTTGTATTGTTCACAATTCACACACTGTAGGCCTACCTGCAGTGCATAGGATACTCCATTCGGCTTGTATCCATCCCCATTTCAAAAGAGCGCCTCTTGTCCGGTTACCAAAGACACACTCCTCCAAACATATTGAAATTATTCAGTCTTATAACACCATATCATCGGTAGGCTATATCTAGCCCATTCATAGACGCTAACTACCTTAAGCGCCTATTGACAATAGTATCCTCTGGTCGGGGTAGTTTTGTTAAAGGACTGGTTGCACGCACGATATACTGCACACTCAACAAAAATATAAACACAACATGTAAAGTGTTGGTCCCATGTTTCATGAGCTGAAATAAAAGATCCCAGAAATTTTACATATGCCCAGAAAGCTTATTTCTCTCAAAGTTTGAGCACACATTTTTAAAGATCCCTGTTAGGGAGCATTTCTGCTTTGCCAAGATAATCCATCCACCTGACAGGTGTGGTATATCATGAAGCTGATTAAACAGCATGCTCATTACACCGTACTTTCTACAAAGTTACAGAAAGCTAAACCAACAACTACACAAACTGAAATAGCATACATTGTAAACGAACGTCCAACGAAGCAAAACTTAGCTAGCTAGATAGCATTGATTTGTTAGGCTTCATCTATTACTATAGGCCTATGTGTGAAATTAGTTTTGATATAGTTTAGGTGTAGTTTCGATGGGCCATTGTCAGATGGCAGTAAACTGTTGGGTTGGGGAAAAGAGGAATGGGGAAATTTGACTTGCCCTCCCTCCTAAAACTGCTCATAACACAAACTCTGTTGGTGATATCAAGATTCTAACAACGATGGTGTGTTGAATAGACTTATTTAGGAAAAGACAAAGAGGGGGGTGACATGACTTAAAAAATGGCAGAGTAATTAAAATGTTTAATTCATATGAAATCAAAAATGACAGTCTCTGCACTTGTTTGGAAAAAATCACTGAGATTTATAGATCAGACTCACCAGTCATCTTGCTTCTCCATTCAGTCATCAGATCCTGTACCTGATGTTATGAGATGACAAAGGACATGCAAATTCTGTGTTGGGACATTAGGCGAAAATGCAAGGCAGCTGAGGTGATACTACATGTATGATAGTACAGTATGAGAAATTATGGAAATTCTACTGTAACAGTGTTTATAATTAAATAATGATTATGTGATTATTAAAAGTCTGTCTCACCTTGTTCAATGTTTTAATTTTTTGTAACCTCCATTTATCTGTGACTTTGCTTTATCCGATTCTACTTCTCTTCTAGTACAGTGCATTGGGAAAGTATTCAGACCCCTTGACCTTTTTCACATTTTGTTACGTTACAGCCTTATTCTAAAATTGATTAAATAAATTCTACACACAATCTACACACAATGCCACATAATGACGAAGCAAAAACAGGTTTTTAGAAATTGTTGCTAATTTATAAAATATAAAAACAGATAAAAAACAGCGGTTTGATTTTCTCATTCAGTTGTTTTGTGGCATCAAATACAGTAAAAAAAACTAACATTTAACTAGCAACCATTACTCTAAGACTATCAGAAACCAACTAGTAAAATGTTTTTGGGAAATCAGTTCTTCTCCATATTTGTATACTGTATAGGTGATATGAAACATTTGAATGGGTCAATAAAAAAACATTACAAAAGCATGCGTGGGAAGTATGAGAGAAATGTACCCTCAGTACATGTAGGTTGTTGGTAGGGTAAATTACCTTTGGCTGTATGTTTAGACTCCTCCTAAACGTAGCGAATGCTTCATTATTCTGAGGAAAGTCCAGTAGTCTCCGCTTCTCATGGAACAGACAGTAAATTGTTAGTATATCATGTCTGGTCTAGTACAGTGCATTGGGAAAGTATTCAGACCCCTTGACCTTTTTCACATTTTGTTACGTTACAGCCTTATTCTAAAATTGATTAAATAAATTCTACACACAATCTACACACAATGCCACATAATGAAGAAGCAAAAACAGGTTTTTAGAAATTGTTGCTAATTTATAAAATATAAAAACAGATAAAAAACAGCGGTTTGATTTTCTCATTCAGTTGTTTTGTGGCATCAAATACAGTAAAAAAATACTAACATTTAACTAGCAACCATTACTCTAAGACTATCAGAAACCAACTAGTAAAATGTTTTTGGGAAATCAGTTCTTCTCCATATTTGTATACTGTATAGGTGATATGAAACATTTGAATGGGTCAATAAAAAAACATTACAAAAGCATGCGTGGGAAGTATGAGAGAAATGTACCCTTAGTACATGTAGGTTGTTGGTAGGGTAAATTACCTTTGGCTGTATGTTTAGACTCCTCCTAAACGTAGCGAATGCTTCATTATTCTGAGGAAAGTCCAGTAGTCTCCGCTTCTCATGGAACAGACAGTCAATTGTTAGTATATCATGTCTGGTCTAGTACAGTGCATTGGGAAAGTATTCAGACCCCTTGACCTTTTTCACATTTTGTTACGTTACAGCCTTATTCTAAAATTGATTAAATAAACAATTTTCCTCGTCAATCTGCACACAATGCCCGATAATGACAAAGCAAAAACAGGTTTTAGACATTTTTGCTCATTTATAACAAATAAAAAACAGAAATACCTTATTTACATAAGTATTCAGACCCTTTGCTATGAGACTCGAAATTGAGCTCAGGTGCATCCTGTTTCCAATGATAATCCTTGAGATGTTTCTACAACTTAATTGGAGTCCACCTGTGGTAAATTCAATTGATTGGACATGATTTGGAAAGGCACACACTCGTCTATATAAGGTCCCACAGTTGACAGTGCATGTCAGAGCAAAAACCAAGCCATGAGGTCGAAGGAATTGTCCATAGAGCTCTGAGGCAAGATTGTGTCGAGGCACAGATCTGGGGAAGGGTACCAACAAATATTTTGCAGCATTGAAGGTCCCCAAGAACACAGTGGCCTCCATCATTCTTAAATGGAAGATGTTTCGAACCACCAAGACTCTTCCAAGAGCTGGCCGCCCGTCCAAACTGAGCAATCGGGAGAAAAGGGCCTTGGTCAGGGAGGTGAACAAAAACCTGATGGTCACTCTGACAGAGCTCCAGAGTTCCTCTGTGGAGATGGGAGAAGCTTCCAGATGGAGAACCATCAATGCAGCACTCCACCAATCAGGCCATTATGGTAGAGTGGCCAGACGGAAGCATCTCCTCAGTAAGAGGGACATGACAGACCGCTTGGAGTTTGCCAAAAGGCACCTAATGGACTCTCAGACCATGAGAAACAAGATTCTCTGGTCTGATGAAACCAAGATTGAACTCTTTGGCCTGAATACCAAGTGTCAGGTCTGGAGGAAACCTGGAACCATCCCTACAGTGAAGCATGGTGGTGGCAGCATCATGCTGTGGGGATGTTTTTCAGAGGCAGGGACTGGGAGACTAGTCAGGATCAAGAGAAAGATGAACAGAGCAAAGTACAGAGAGATCCTTGATCAAAACCTGCTTCAGCACGCTCAGGACCTCAGACTGGGGTGAAGGTTCACCTTCCAACAGGACAACGACCATAAGCACACAGCCAAGACAACGCAGGAGTGGCTTCGGGACATGTCTCTGAATGTCCTTGAGTGGCCCAGCCAGAGCCCGGACTTGGGACTTGAACCCGATCGAACATCTCTGGAAAGACCTGAAAATAGCTGTGCAGCGATGCTCCCCATCCAACCTGACAGAGCTTGAGAGGATCTGCAGAGAATAAATGGGATAAACTCCCCAAATACAGGTGTGCCAAGAATGTAGATTCATACCCAAGAAGACTTGAGGTTGTAATCGCTGCCAAAGGCGCTTCAACAAAGTACTGAGTAAAGGGTCTGAATGCTTATGTAAATGTCATATTTCATTATTTATTTTTATATTTAAAAAAATTTAATCTAAAAAGCTGTAGTTTGTCTTTATCTTTTAGCTGTTCATGTTGTTTTCTGTTTAGTTCATCTATCTCCTTTAGTAGTGTTTCCTTATGTTCAACTTCCTGTTTGCTCTTTTCTAGGTCACAGTCTCTTTTCTGCAGTTGAACTCTGCACTTCTGTAGTTCTTTTTCCAGTGCCTCAACTTGCTTCTTACTATTCTTCAGCTCACTAGCAGTGATTATGTCATCCAGTTTTGTGTCTTTGTCCCGAAGCTGTTTGAATTTCTCATTCAGGTGTTTTGTGGCATCAAATACAGTAAAACACTCACATTTAACTAGCAACCATTACTCTAAGACTATCAGACTCTGACTAATAAAACATTTTGGTGAAATCTGTGCTTCTCCATATTTGTTTACTGTATAGGTGATATGAAACATTTGAATGGGTCAATAAAAAAACATTACAAAAGTATGCATGGGGAGTATGAGAGAAATGTACCCTCAGTACATGTAGGTTGTTGGTAGGGTAAATTACCTTTGGCTGTATGTTTAGACTCCTCCAAATCATAGCGACTGCTTCTTTATTGCGAGGACAGTCCAGTAGTCCATGGTTCTCATGGAACAGACAGTCCACTGTTAGTATATCATGTCTGGTCACCAGTCTGCTACTGTTAGGTACTGTGCAGTCTGGGTTGAAGGAATGATGCAGCACCACCAAAACAACACGTTTACCAGCTGTTTAGAAAGTGACAATAAAATGTTTAGCATGAGAAAAAGCTAACAAATAAAGCGTTCAGATAATTAGCCTCTTGCTAGATACATAGGTCAACACTGACATGGATTTGATATAAAACATTTCAGATACGCAGTATATGTCAATAACTTTGCTTCTTACTTGGTATCTCCTTCAGTGCTGCTTCAATATCAATCCCAGCACGACTGACGATAGGACAGAAAGTCATGATGACATCACTCTCCTCCAGGGTCCTCACTTCAGTAAAGTCTTGTTGCATGGTGAGTTGTTTCAAAAAGTCCTTATGAGAATCCAAGGTAATGCCACTAACAACAGTGAAGAATTTTCTCATCCTTTGATTACCTGCAACAGGATATTAAAGATGGAACCTTTATCGTTAATTCCATGACCTTGATCATTAGTGCAGCTGGTTTATGTAAAAAAGGTGGCGTATCAGCTCGGCTACTTTTTGTAACAACATACAACTTTATAACTGACATATTTTGATGAAATGTTAGACCACACATCGACCTTCATATGATGGGCACACTTACAGATATTTTGCTCACATTCTAAGTGTAAGCACTGCAAAAGCTCACTATGAAGGAGTTTTTGATGAAGTACATTTAAGCAAGAAAAAACCCCAATGGCATCTGAGAAAGTAACATGTTGACTTACTATGAACACTGGACTCTGCCATTTTGCCTGTATAAAAAAAAGTTTGAAATCATTACTACACACATCATTAGGTTACTTAGTAGTATTATTTTTGTTCTATTTTCTCCTTCCCAGTAAAAATTGACTGTATTAAAATTAGAATGTTGTGTTTATTTTTGGAAATTGAAAGTAATACTTCTTGGGCTGTATTTTATGCATGCTCATTTGCAATTTCGACCTGTTAAAGCTGTCACTCTTCTGTTTTCAAACCCTAGCGCCAGGATTGGTAATTTACCTGTTTTATATGAGCTTGGTGTGGTGTGAGGGGTGGCAATATCTGACGTGTGTCCTTAAAAACGCTTGCATATGGAACAAGAGGGATGTGCATTTTGTACCAGTAAAGCTTGTATTTAGAAACATAAAAAACTAAATGTTTTTGATAAAACATTTATTAAAAAACCAAGCATAGCCTCCACTCCTCTCAATAAAGGCGTTTTTTTTGGTCCTGCCCAATGCATTCGCCAAGTAGTCAAGACTATCATAAAGGGTTTGGCACATCAGACCACTTTCAAATAAATCTTTATTAAAAGATCAAGTTTGGGGCCATCCTATTTTCATCTATCTAGGCTAATCTACATTATTTTAGCCAGATCCTGTTATTATTTTGAATGTGCGAAAAAATTCCTCCATGTAGGCTATATGCTCATCATGGAAGATGAGATGAGATGATCAAGTGACACTCATATTTAAAAACAATTATGTTATTTTCCTGTAAGAATAGCTTGTATTCCGTTTCGATTGAGCCCTTGTAGGCTACCCTTACCCTACTATAACAAAAGCTAGTTTCAACAGCAATGCGTCTGGTGTCTTTCTTATCCTGGCCATCCATTAGCCAAGTAGCCTATCCATAAAAGGTTTCTAAATGGTCTACTCGTGAAGCTTTTGTATTATTCACAATTCACACACTGTAGGCCTACCTGCAGTGCATAGGATACTCCATTCGGCTTGTATCCATCCACATTTCAAAAGAGCTCCTCTTGTCCGGTTACCAAAGACACATTCCTCCAAACATATTGAAATTATTCAGTCTTATAACACCATATCATCGGTAGGCTATATCTAGCCCATTCATAGACGCTAACTACCTTTAGCGCCTATTGACAATAGTATCCTCTCGTCGGGGTAGTTTTGTTAAAGGACTGGTTGCACGCACGATATACTGCATACTCAACAAAAACATAAACGTAACATGTAAAGTGTTGGTCCCATGTTTCATGAGCTGAAATAAAAGATCCCCGAAATTTTCCATATGTCCAAAAAGCTTATTTCTCTCAATGTTTGAACACACATTTTTAAAGATCCCTGTTAGGGATCATTTCTGATTTGCCAAGATAATCCATCCACCTGACAGGTGTGGCATATCAAGAAGCTGAATAAACAGCATGATCATTACACAGGTACCCCCTGTGCTGGGGACAATAAAAGGCCACTTTAAAATGTGCAGTTTTGTCACACAACACAATGCCACAGATGTCTCATAAGCCGCCTCCAACGTCGTTTTAGAGAATTTGGCAGGGTAACCAGAAGTGGTCTTGTGATAATTGTTTGTGTTTCTGCTCGTCAGAGGGAGCAGGCGCTCCGCGTTAAAACGAATGTGGGCAAGAGATTATTTTGCGCTGGTGATTACTGGGATAGCAGTAAATTTAAAAGTTGACCAACTGAAGGGGAAGATTCCCGGTGTTTGTGATGCTCGTCGTTTGGTGCGAGGCAGACAGGGTGGCGTGAGTGGTGAAACAGAAGAGTCATTGTCTGTTCTTTTGAGTTTTGATGTTGAGTCTTTGCCCGACAAAGTGATGTTAGGATATATAAGTTATCCTGTAAGAGCTTTTGTGCCGAATACATTACGTTGTTACAGGTGTCAAGCTTATGGGCATGTGGTAGCAGTGTGTAGGAGAAGTGTGCATAAGGGCATGAGACAAAGGAATGTGTATCATTGGGGAAAGTAGTTGAATGTGTTAATTGTAGGGGTGGCCATGCGGCTGGGGATCAGAAATATCCCATGCGAGACAGGCAGGTTGAGGTTTCCAGGGTAAGAGTAGTGAAGAAGTTGTCATATGCTGAGGCAGTGAAGAAAGTAGAGGAAGATGGGTCAAGGGGGAGTGGTGAGAGTAGTAGATATGCACCAGTACAGAGGGATAGGCCAACAAGTGAGATATGTTTCAGTAAGATTGGATTTTTACCATTTATAGCAATGGTTATTAATTGTACTGCAGGGATGGAATGTAAGCCAAAGAAAATGGAGGTTGTGGTGGCAGCTGCAGAGAGGTATTTGGGTTTGCGAGACTTGACATCAGAAGAGTTACAGGGAGAGTTAAGTGGTGATGTTCCATCATTTCAGGTTGAGGGCATGAGGTAGGAATGAATATATTTAAATAGTGGAGTAGGGTTGTGTTAATTATTAATAATATTTTTTGAATTTGTGAGTCTAGTGTTAGATGGTAGGGTATTTCTTTATTTTATTTTTACATTTACATTTTAGTCATTTAGCAGACGCTCTTATCCAGAGCGACTTACAGTTAGTGAATACATTTTTTTTTATACTGGCCCCCCGTGGGAATCGAACCCACAACCCTGGCGTTGCAAACGCCATGCTCTATCAACTGAGCTACATCCCTGCCGGCCATTCCCTCCCCTACTCTGGACGACGCTGGGCCAATTGTGCGCCGCCCATGAGTCTCCCGGTCGCGGCCGGCTGCGACAGAGCCTGGATTCGAACCAGGATCTCTAGTGGCACAGTTAGCACTGCGATACAGTGCCTTAGACCACTGCACCACTCAGGAGACTCAAAAAAAAAAAATATTAAATGTAATTTTTCAAGCAACATATAAGGGAGTTGTACTCCAGTCTAGTAGGTGGCGGTAATGCAACAAATTGGATGCCAACCGCCGTTAAACTTCATTGAAGAAGAAGAATGCGGGTTGCCGACACCCCCACAGGCAAATATTTTCAGCCGGTAGGCGGGTAGACTAGACACTGTAATAGGTTTCTGAGTGAGCATAGGCGCTTCTTTGCGTTTTTGGTGGGACTGGGAAAAAATGCCAGGACATGCTTTTAAAATAATGATTCTGTTCAGAAACAGTATAGATCACTTTCGTTCGCGGTTCTGATTCTGTTCCTCAAAATATCATTATTTTCCGGTTTTCGGTTCAGGGATGTTCGAGGGTTCGAACACAGGAATGTGAGATGAACGTACACCCCAATTAGGCTGATATAATTCCTCATTATTTCGGTTAATGATTTTCAATTTGAACGTCATTATTTCTATATAGCCTACACTTTCTCGTTTAGAACTACTAACGCAAGTGGGACTGTACGGCTTCGGGACAATGACAAGAGCAGCTGCGCTAAGATTTACCATTGTGTTAGGTTTGTGAAAATAGAGACCCTTACCTTTAATGGTCTTCCACATCAGATTAAAAATAGCTGATTTATATCTACATCAATGTATGACAGTCATAGAAAACAACTATCCCTTCATAAGACCATATCTAAACCACCTTCATCCGAGGACAAGTCTGACCAAAACACACTTTTACTTTCGCTTTTCCACAAAACCTCAGCAGGCTAAACTGGTCCCTGTGCATATGCATATGAAAACCAAAACGAAAATTGGATAACAACTCGTTTCCTCGTTTATGGTTTCCAAATCTAGTAACAGATAACAAATAAAGACTAAATGTATCAAACATTTTTTGGGGGTTCATCCCTGGAAGTACACACACTCTAATATAATATTATTGGTGCATAGCGGGTGTGTGTCCCGTCTGGGTTAAACTGCAGTGTCGGCAGCACAGAGAAAGGATTAGACATTTGTGTGACAGGAAGCTAAAAATAGTAATGTTAGCTAAGATGCCTAATTTATCAATTAGCATGCCAATAGAACGAACTCAACAACAACTGAACAAAGTTGGCTTGCACTACCTGCTAGCTAGCATTAGCCGGCTAACGTGCTGAATAGCTAACAAGCTGGCTAACTGACTAGCTAGCATCTGAGCAGATCATCATGAACTTCATCCAGTTACATCAGCCAATACAGTACGTTAAAATCAGCCTTTTTATTGGTGTGGGTATAATTTACAAACCTCTTTTCCTGCTTAATGAAAGGCAGATGTAGAAAAGGAATAATGATTAGGATACTTAATTAATTGCTATGACAATTGGCATACTTTTCTGAATGTATACTTACCACCTTTCAGGACGGCTGATGATCAATGATAAGGAGAAAGTCTGATATTACTGATTCCCCCCACACTCTCTCTCCCTCTCTCTCATTCACAGGACCATTCACATAGTCCAGTCACTCAGCCCTATCCAGAAGCTCTCAATGTACTACACTACTTCCTCCTACAATACCCTGATGAGAAGCAAAAAGCCTGGCCCCATGACTGTAAGTTTGCATATCTCTCTAATGTACCCTACCGTGCTGAGACAATCTGACTCTAGAACAGTATTACACTATTTTAAAACTGAATTCTCAACAGTGATTATTGATCTCTCTCTCTCTGCCACCCTCACAGTTCACTCACTCAGATGGTATGTAGGCTGGTTGATGGCACCTACAGGCCTGTTTTGAGGGACAACTGGACAGAACATAACAGAATGCTTGGACCTCAGCTGAAACCCTCCTCTCCTTCCCCATATTTCAAGGAAAGCCCCTTCTTTACACTTCCTGTTTGGCATAATGCTCTCAAGGTATGTCTCTTTCTCATGTTGTGTGGTATTACCTATCAATGACTCCTAGACACTTTCACATAGTTTGCCTCTGAATTGGTGTCCACGTCAGGCTATTTACTTGTTACCTGTGTGTTAGAATACTTTGTCCATTTCACATAATTTTAATGACCCCCTCCACTGCCACATGCTCTCTGTCTTTTTCTCCAGGATACATTAGGGGAAGTTGCTTTGCTGTTGGCACCAATCCCACGCTGCCAGGCTGTCGGACAACATCAACGACTTTATCCCCCTCATCCTCAACGCAGTCAT